CTGCGCTCCCCACCTCGTCGCCTCCAGGCTGGCTCTACACCCCGTAGACTGCTCGCTTCCAGCAATTTCTGCCCTCCTTTCGCTCTCAAACATCCCACTCATCTTCTCTCTCGTGGTCCTAACCATGGGAACATGCGGGTTTTTCTGTCCATGACACAGGCGCCGGGCTGCTCCTGCTGCTGGCCCTGCTCTGATTCCCGACACCTGATCGTCTCCGGCACCTGGACTTCCCGGCCACACCTGCTCTCGGGCTCTGGACCTGGTCTCTCCGTCTGACCTGGCCCAGCCCCAGCCCCTGAGGCCTGGGACCCAGGTTCCCACGTTTACCGCCCCGAAAAGGCACTCGGCAGCTCCAGGGCTGAAAGAGGCGTTCCAGCAGCTGCCTCCCTCCCACGGACGTAAGAGCAGTGTCCTTGGCTGGCTCTCATCCCGCCCGGGCACCCCTGCCAGCCCCACCAGTGACATCGCAGCAAGGCCAATGATCCGCATGTCCCCATTTGAGAGGGGGACCGGTGATGGCCTGCCCCGGAAGCGGTAAGTGCATCCCTGTTTCAGCCGCTCTCTTCTATGTGAGCTGGTGATGGTCTTTAAACTCAGGGGAAAATATAGCACCAACAGCTGGAAGCACAGCGCTGCCTCCTGCTGTGGTCACAGGGGGAGGGGGGGACTAAAGAGAAAACCCTCCGACCCCCAAGACCCTCTGAAGACTAACTTGCTGGATCCGCGGCTCAGGAAGCACCGTGAGGAGCAGCAACGGGCTCCAGACATGGACCGAAGGGGGCTCTGCGCCTGGGAGACCCAGGCCTGGCTGGCCTTTTCCAGGACGTGAGGGACAGCCAGGGACAGAGGAGCTGGCCGGGTGGCTGAGGGTGTAGGGGCTGGAGGACGGCCCTGCTCGGCACCCAAGTGGGCTTCTAGCTTTAAAGGGCTGTCTTGGTAAGCACAGAGGTAAGCATGGCTCCATTCCTCGCGCTGTCCCTGCCTCCCAGGACTCACAGCCTCCCCTGGAAGGCCCTGGGCTCTGGGACTCCCCAGGACACCGGGAGGGTAGCTGAGCCCCCTGACGGGGCCTCTCCTGAAGTCTCTGGCGGGAATTTGGGGAGAGGCCCTTGGGAAAGGGGTTCTCACAGCCCCACGAACCCGAGAATCCTTCCGAGGCTCCGTGCCGGAGGCTGTAGCCGGCAGGTTTAAAAATGCAGGTTTTTACTACTGTCATGCCACCGGTTTCATAGCTACAAGCTAATAGCTGTGACGAAGGAATTATTAAAGTGTTAAATATTTCATTTAAAAGGGAACATTGCCGTCACTTTAAAAAGAAAACTCAGACCTCATCTGTTGAAAACCATCATGTGCGAGATGGCACCGGGAGGAACGGCTAAGGGCCAGGCATCTCGCTGGGTGTGTGTGTGTGTGTGTGTGTGTGTGGGTGTGTGGGTGTGTGTGTGTGTGTGTGTGTGTGTCCCCAGCACAGGGCCGGGCCCTCCCCGGGGAGCCACCCACCCGGGCTGGCAGGTAAAGCAGAAAGGCCGGGGTTAGCAGCCTGCCCGCCGGTCTCATCTTCCTGGCCACGGGCAGCCTGTGAGCGGAAGGGCCTCCGTGGGCAGAGGGAGGGCTCCGAACAAAAAGAAGCGCCTGCGCCCATTCTGAACGGGAAGCCGGCCCCGCGGGTCCACAGGCTGCGCTCCGCGACTTCACGGTGAGACAGCGCCCGGCCAGGCGCCACCTTTGTGACTCCAGTGCTCCTGCCACTGGCCTCTCAGGCTACCTCAGATGCATGTACACTAAGAAGGTAAACTTATTTGTGAGAAAACCGAGAAGTTAGGGAGTGTTCACAGAAAATAGGTTTAAATGATATTTCATTATGAAAGAAACATTAAGCAAAGGTTTACTTCAAGAATAATGGCTTCACTAAAGAACGGTTTCTTGGAGAAAAATGAATTCAAAATACACAAGACTGACCTTGGGAGAGGTTTCTAGGGAGGACGTGACCTCCCCGATACGCATCGTTGTGCTACGAGGCTGTGAGCTCTCGGTCACAGAAAAGCGATTCTGTCCACACTTGAACAAACCAGCTCAGCAAACACCAAACCCCAAAACACAAGAAGAAAACGCCCACCTCTAAAACCCCAACCTCAGAGGAAGCTCGGCGTGCTCCACAGCTCACCGTTCACGTTAATTCCTTCACAGCGAGGTCCCGTGCTCCTGGCTCCTGCCCCTGACAGCCCCCTCTCCTGGCCCCGGGACCAGGCAGCGATCGGTTCCCTGAGAGAAAGCCCCAGAGAGCTACCTGGCTGCTGCTCTAACTCCGGGAATTCTCCGAGAGGAGCTGAACCACCTGACATTCCCAGCATCTGATGCGTTAACCTGGCGGACAGCAATGTCATGTGGTTCACCTTCGCATGCATTTTTGTGGCTCCTTCCAAACGGAGCCAGCGGTTCACAGTGCGCTCACCTCACGGAGGATCCTGCAAGGACAGGCAGTCTGGCCACGCGCAAGAGGGGCCCGTGGGCAGCAGGACAGGCCACGCTGCGGCCTGAGGGGCAAACGGCGGAGGGCCTGGGGCAGAGGTCACGAGCGGTACTTCAAGGCTTCAAGAAGAAAGAGTGGGGGACAAGTGGAAATAGGCAGACCTGGTCTCTCAGAAGCCAGAACATGAGGAAACAATGACACACAGACGTATGCTCAACATACTCAAAAGTTAACATGCACAGAAAGAAGGACACTTATTCCCCATTTAAAATGCCCCCCCCCCCGCTGTTTGCACAGAGGCTCATTTCTCTGTGTTAATCCCAGCCCCACAGCTCCGAGGCTGCCCACCACCTCCCTTCGTGGGGTCTGTCCTCTCCCTACGACAGTGATGGCGAACCTTTTGAGCTCGGCGTGTCAGCATTTTGAAAAACCCTAACTGGTGCCGTGTCACATATAGAAATTTTTTGATATTTGCAACCATAGTAAAACAAAGACTTGTATTTTTGATATTTATTTTATATATTTAAATGCCATTTAACAAAGAAAAATCAACCAAAAAAATGAGTTCGATGTCATAGGTTCGCCATCACTGCCCTACGATGTCACTGGCTCCTAGACACACGGCAGAGAGAGCAAAGCCCACAACAGCTGGACACACAGGGGAGTGGCACAGCCGGTGCCGGTGCCAATGAACTCTGTGCTGGCCACCTCCCTCCTTAAACAGTAACATCCCCACACCTGGCCCCTGCCCGGGAGTGACTGAGCAGCGTGGACACCCTGGGCCCGCAGCCCGTAACTGTGGGCCGGCGGGTGCTGCCCCCACCTCCCAAACCAGCTGGAGGGGGCCCCGGCGCACTCAGAAGTGCCCGTCAGCACTGCAGGGCTTGTCTCACGGGGGGCGGGATGGGCTACTAGGGTAACTGGGACCTTCCTCCTTATCCCCACGGCTGCTCCCCGCTGGCCCTGGTCACCAGCCCTCCCATCACCATGACCTGCTGGCCGAGGAGACGGCCTGGCCTGGTGCGGGCCCAGAGCCGGGGACGCAGGGCAAGAGCGGCTGGTCCCCCTCTCCAAGAGCTGAAGACAGGCCTCCAGGACCAGACAGGCCCGCTGCTCCCCACCCCCTCAGACGCACGGAACTGCTGCCCTGGTTTTGTAAGATTTTTGTTCTGACAATTTCAAAACCTGAAATGTCTGCTCCCCATGTGACAGAAGGAAAGCCGGTTGGACGGTTCTTTCCCAGCAGCGGAGAGAAGAGGTCATGGCTCCCAGATTCCCAGCTGCCTCTCTGAGTCCCTCGGCTCGCAGAGCATGGCCCCGGCACAGTCACCCACCCGCCATCAGCCCCGGGACTCCTGGTGCTGGGGGAAGGGGCCCGAGCAGGCGGGGCGAGCACGGGGCCCTGTGGACGATGGTGGGTTCTGGACACGTGCAGAGCGCCGTCCAGCTGCCCCATCCTAGACCCCCCGTGAGAATCTCTGGAGCGCCCCCCTGACAGAGACCTTCTGAACGACACGGGCTGACAGGCCCTCTTCTCAGAACTTCCCCGGCTAGTTCATTATGTGCAAAAACGCTCAAGGTCTTCTCTGTTGACTGTGAGTCAACTCACATGTTAGCTCAGCCTTTCAGGGGTTTCTCTACCCGCCTCCCTGTAAACACTGCTCCGTTTTCAAGTTCGTTTTCGCTGAAAATCATAGTAGGAATTAGAATGCCATTAAACTTATTTGGTGCATTCCATTTTCCAGTTCAAGATTGCTTTACATTTACCCTACCTGAAGTCTCAGGGCGATTCTTTAAGCACACGGCTGTATGCCTTCACACGGATATACCTGTATAAATGCTCACTTATAACAAAACTTGAAGAGTCTCTATGCAAAATAAACCCGTGTGTGGTATGTGTCTAGAATGACTTCCTGCCGTAAGTAAGAATCCAAACAAGAGCTTACAAAGAAACGCCTGGGAAAACGTTTTGGGATTATCACAGACTGTTTGTGCCTCCGGCACACTCCACGGAGGCAACGCGTTCACGCTCATCCCTTAAAAGTAGAACTTCTCACTATGGCAAGTTCGAGAAGTGAAGGTGAAAACTCACCCAAGAAGACTCTGCTGCTACCCAGGCTGACGTACGTGTCAGCCACCGGGTCGATGGCCGTGGCTGCCTGTCCACAGCCTCGTTTTCTGTGCTATTGGCCAGTAGAGAGTTCAAGTTCACAATGAGCTCATTGAGAAGTTTACTGCCGCTCAGATGTGTTCCTGCTTAAACCTTTCCGCCCGCGAGAGTCCGGAGTCGGTCTGCATGCATCATGTTCACTGCCTTTGCCAAGAACGACGGGACCACGTGCCAAAACTAACAGAGCCACTGGGAAGCGGAGGGGCTCGCGCACTCTGTCCTAACAGCATGGCCACATGCTGCCCGGGCAGAGGATGGAAGAGAATGGAGCTGGTCCAGTCAATAAAACACGCTGTGACGTAAGTGACAGCTAACGGGGCCGCTCCCTGAAGGAAGCGCCGCGGCGGCGGAGGTACTGACCTTGCAGGAAGATGGGGTGGTGGAGCGCAGGCACGGGGAGCTCCTGGAGGGCCGTGGGCTCCTGGAAGTAGGCGTCTAGCCAGGCCGCACACTCCATCAGGGGCTTCACTGTCTCCTCTGGGCTGCCGAGCGGCTCAGGAGGGGCGGGGGCCAAGGTGGGGCTGCAAAAGTGATAACAGGAGATTAATAAAGCTCGAGGCCCTGCTCCACACATCTGAAGGGCAAACAGAAAACACTGCCGCCCTGACGGGGTCAAGGCTAGCTGTGGCATGAACACCCACGTTTCCACTAGCTGAGCGACAGGTGTGAGGACGGCAGAGGCGCTGGAGGAGGGCCAGGCTGAGGCCCGGGGGGTTTTCTCACCCACGAGTCCACCTTCCGCTTTAAGAAACATGACATCTTTGAAAACAGCAAAGAAGGAGGCCGGTGGGTATGGAACCCCACCTCTCGGATGAAGATGCCCGTGTCCCGTAGTGTTCGCCCCCTCCTAGGGGTGATTCCTAGGAAGGGGGGTCCCAGGACACGGCACTTCTGTTTGGGGCTCTGAACGCTTGTGCCGAGCCAGAAGCAAGCTGTGACAGAGCGATGACGACAGCACAGAAGCAACTCCAGGGCCGGTGTGCCTGTCCCTCTGCAGGACGAACGGGTGTATGTTTGCCTCTATGGTCACCTGTCAGTCAGGTCACCAGAGTTCGCTACCAAAAGCCTTTTCCAGAAATGCTAGGAAAGTAATTACACTGCTCCTCACCCTCTCACCTGGCCACCCCCAAGAGAACAGCACGTCCACGCGTTTCCAATCGCCTGTGCTCTTTCAGAGGCATTTCCTCCCCGTCTGCTCTCCGTCCACGGAGTCTCATGCTTGACGGTGTCTGTGTGTGGGTCCTTCCGGGGTTTGTGATTTCAGTTACAGGACCATGACTTCCATGCGTGGGGTTTCCAGTTGTTCCTTTTCCAACTCTTATTGCTCATTGCGGTTGCCAGTCTCCCTTTTATCTCAAGTTTAAAGCAATGCACTCAGGCTCCCTTCGGTGGCCTGTTTGGTCCAGCTGGTGATTTTGTCTGCGGGACCTGCAGCCGCCCCTCACGGAGCCGACCTCTCGGCAGGGGCTGGTTTCTGGGTATGTGCTCCGCTGGAGCAAGAAGACCAGTCCCAGTCCCGCAGGTGACTTTCTTGCCCACCACCAGGCCCCGGACATAGGGCACACGTCCTGGGTGCTCCAGGCCTGGTGGGCAGTTGCTCTCATCGTCCTTTCAGACGCTACAGCTGCTGAGCTTTGTTGGGACGGCAGGGAAGCCGCCAAAATACAGGTGCAGAGGCTCTTCCCGGAGCCCCGCCGCCTCCCTGCCAGGCGCCCCACCCGGAGGCAGGTGGGGGAGCTGCACTCTGCAGGCTGTCTGTCTTCAACCTGCTCTCACGGCCCCTGGGAGAGGCCATCACCTGGCCACGCGGCCCAGCACAGGGAGGTGAAGAGAGACAATGCACCAAGTCCCCGCCTTCAACTCATCGGGGGGACTCCCTCCTGAGGTGGCCAGAGAGGGTCAGGGGTCCCCTCAAAACCTCCCATGACCACCTGGGACTGGCCCCTCCTGCAGAACCCAGATGGGGCTGGGGTGCTGGTCAGGATCACCGCTGCTGGTCTTCAGGGCTGTGGGGCCTGCTGTCCGTCAGGCACAGAATCGGGGTTCCTCAGCGAGGAGGCGAACACTACGGGAGATGGGCGTCTTCATCCGAGAGGTGGGGTTCCATACCCACCGGCCTCCTTCTTTGCTTCCAGATTCACGTCTCCTGACTCAGATACCCCCGTGACACAGGGTGCCTCGGGCACCCCACGGCAATGCCCACGCCGGTGGCCGCGCCCGCTGCTGCTCAGGGAATTGAAGTGGGAGCTGGGTTTCCTAGCATTTCCATCCTCAGAGGACATTTGAAGAATTTTTATAGTAGTGAAATTCATCTGAAATTGATTTTTTATGCTTGTGCTAAAGACCTCAACCTCTGCCTTACTCTGTGGCTCTCCTTTTTAACTCTTTCTCTATTGGCGTTAGATTACTATTCATGGGTGAAATGTAATTAAGCAGCTTTGATTCTGGAGCCAGGATTTATGATGCTACATTTAAAACGAATGACATTAAACACACACATAAAACCAGATTTTTAAAGCCATGACACAAATTTCCATTTCTACAATAAAATGAAATTTATTCTCTGCCCTGCCCTCTCCTCCAACCTCGCCCGGCTCGTCCCTGGGAGAGCTGTGGTGTGACGGTTTCCGGGCGTCGCTGACGGCCACTCAGATCACAAAGGAGGCCCTTCGGCTCCACTACCCCTCAGCCCTGAACTCCCGGCCATGGGGGGCCCTGAGCCCCACGCTCGCTTAAACCCCAAGCCCAAGTCTCCCCGGGGAGCCAGGCAGCTCCCCCACCAGGGACATGCAAACACCACGGCCACCGATGGTTCAGGTGCCAACGTCGAGGACGGGAGGAGCAAGAGGCGGTTTAAACTTGAACTGGGCCCCACGACTCCCTTTCTGGGTGGCCGGAGGTATGTTGCTTAAATTGGAAGTCAGTTTTTAATGGACATCCTAAGACCTTCCTATTTGGGCCTGAAATGAATGTCAGAACCTCAACAAGCCCACAGAGGAATTTACTGTAGTATTTTAAAACACCCATCAAAAACACAGAGACATTTTTATGTCAATTTCCAACTCCTCCCCCATAGAAGGTACATGTCATAAGAACTGCATATTTTTTCTTTTTAAAAATAATTGATTCTTAAAAATACATCAGCAACAATAAAACATTTTTAAAAGACAATTTAAATAGTACACTTGGCAGACTAGAATGCCTTAAAAAAGCCTACTTACTTTCTCCCTTAAGTGTTCAAATTATGAAAAGAAAAACTGTATTTTAGCAACACTTTAGCATATCATTAAAAATCCCCACTACTTGACAGATGAAGATAAAAACACCCCAAAACTATAGATGAATTATCAAGTCCCTAATGATTGCAAAACAATTACAGGATGCAGGGCAATCTAGTTAAATTTTATTCAAAAGCTTACCACACTTGTGTTTTCTTTTATTTTTCTATCAAGAAACCCATGAGGCTTAAGCACAATTCATTATGTATGAGACCCCACTTGCGGTGCCTGACTGTTGATTAATAGCAAAGTTTGCTGTATGTACATTTGCAACATTAGATGCATACAATATGCTAACTTATTCTTTCACTGAAACTAATTATTTACAAAAATGACTACTTGAGACTACAATTTATTAAATGCATGCATCCAGCCTCAGCTCGGCCCCCAAAGACAGCCCGGAATGAAGATCTTTTACTCGATGTGACAACTTGTAGAAATGCAGTTATTAATATTGTAAATGTGGCAAATAAAGAGTTCAAACAGCCTCATGTCCACGCCGGCGCTGCTCTTCTCCACTGAAGCAGCGAACAAAGCAGCGTTTCAACGTCTCCCACACGCGTGAGAGGCACGTTCCTCTTTTCTGGCGTAATTCAGCTTCTCATAAAGAACATGCTCAGACGTTAGGAATGAGCAGCTTAAAGAAAGAGCAAACATAAAACAGGAATAAAAAGTCCTAATCAAATTGCTGCTTAAGTCGATTTATTACAATTCTGTCAATAATTAGTTCACTTCTTGAAAAATAGCCGTAGAAATAAAACTTTTAAGGAATCATTCCATCACTCTCATCAAATTCTGTGTATTCCCACAAGGGTACTTTGCCCCTCCCCATCCCCCCCCCCCCCGCCCGGATCTCTGGGGTTAGATGACTTGGTATGATTCAATAATTCTCTTCCCCACTCCCAGAAAAGAAGGGACACACTAGTGCAGCGGTTCTCAACCTGTGGGTCGCGACCCCTTTGGGGGTCGAACGACCCTTTCACAGGGGTTGCCTAAGACCATCGGAAAACACATATATAATTACATATTGTTTTTGTGATGAATCACTATGCTTTAATTATGTTCAATTTGTAACAATGAAATTGGGGGTCACCACAACATGAGGAACTGTATTAAAGGGTCGCGGCATTAGGAAGGTGGAGAACCCCTGCATTAGTGCAAAATAAGAATCACAGATATCTCCTAGTGGATGGAGATTTCAGATGGGGCATCTGGTCAACCACGATTGTCTTTCAGGCTGACTCTATAATGCACATGGTCCAAAGAGGCAGCCCCCTGCTCTGAGCATCTTCCTCCACAGTCTGCCCCTTCTAATGCCCTCGGAGCCTCTGGGTGGCCTTGCTCTGTGCAGCTGGGGGTGTGTGCGCCTGCAGGCTTGGGGTGGGGGTGGCGGGACAGGGAGGGACAGACCCTGCCCTTCACATGCCAAGATCAGGAAAAGCAATGTCTGTGCCCCAAAGGCAGGATGATCGTGCAGAAGGTCATCATGCTACCAATTTCCCTGCGCCAGTCAAATTTCGCCAGGATACCTAAGGAGAAGAGGACGTGGGTTTCAAACAAGGGCCTGCTCTGGGACATACAATTTAGGGACCTAGAAGGACTGAAACGTCAGAGAGAGGGGCTTTGCTTTCTACAATTAACAAGTGGTAAGAGGAAAAGTAATAGTACCAGAACGGGAAAATCTCAGGGCATGCAGCCAAGGTGGGTAAAAGATGGTTGGTTTCCTACCATCCAATTTACTCTCCTGACTCTCAATAACACAGCCAACACCAGCCACTGTCAAGGCAACTGACCACCAAGTCCCCGCTGAGAGAAAGTCTCACTGTCACCCTCCATGGCACTTTGGAAGGTGGGGTCCAATGAGGAACACTGAGGGTCACCTACATGGGAACAACGCGAGGGAAACCTTGTATAAAATGTCATAGCTGCCACTTATTGAGTGCCCAGCATGTGCCAGGCTTATCACTGAAAATATGTTCTATATTCATCCCTCCCAGTAACCCTGAGGGAGGGATTATTATCTCTAAGTCCTAGAAGAGGTCCAGAGGTTCTAGAACAGGGGTGGGCAACCCCTGGCACGCGTGCCAAACATGGCACGCCAGTAACTTTTGCTGGCACTCGAAACCCTCTCTTATAATCTTCCACTTACAATTTTTTCTTAATATCGACTTTTTTATTTTTCAGATAAATTCAGTGTAGGTGCATCTTAGATAAATAATTCTACATAACATGTATACATTAAA